AGGGCAGGGCGAGTCTCCAGGAGGCGGAGCCCCACGCCTTTGGGGGCGGGTGTTACGTCACTTCCGGCGCGCCGCCGCCCTGCTCTAGTCCCGAGGAGATGGCGGCCGCTGTGCGTAGCCGGTGGTTCCGGTGCTGCTCCGCCCTGCTCAGGTATCGCCTGGCAACCCCCCCCCCCTCCGTGAGAGCTCCGCCCTAGACCCCGATCGCCCCTGAGACTCCGGTGTAACCTCCCGGCGGGCCGCCGCCTCCTCCCCCGCCTGTGAGCCCGAGCGTCTCCTCCCGCCTTCTGAAACCTCTGGTCCCCGGTGCCCCCGCGATCTCTTCCGCCACCGCGACACACCCCTTACCTCCTAACCCATGAGACCGCCGCGCAGCTCCTCAGGCCATTGACCGCACCCCTCCGTGCCTCAGTTTCCCCTCAGTAGAGCGGGGGTGAGCCCCGCGCTTAGAGATCCTTGGCGCACCAGGGCTACAGACATTAAAGGGTCATTGGCAAGGTCTGAGCTTTGGGACTCACCCCTTTTGAATGGGCTGCTCATTACAGGAACTTTGGGCTGCCCCATTTTTTGCGTGAAGTTTGAAAATAAAATTATTTTACCACACCCCTCCCCCGTGTCCCTGCAGGACTTATTTTCACAGTTAGTGCATTGGTCAAGTCTGGCAGTTGGTCTAACCCACATGGAAAACTATTTCTAAGATTATCTGTTGTACCAGCCTGTTAACTTGACTCTTGTCAAAGTAACACATTAGGCTCCTTATTTGGTTTGCTTAATACCATGAACCTCCAAACACCTATGCATGTACTTAACTGTAAGCACACAAGCAGTCCCATCTAAGTAAAAATATGGGGGAAATTAATTTTAAAATCTCTTAATTTTCACTATGTTTACATTTTCATAATGCCCTCAATTTACATAGTGAAATTAGGCTGTTCTCACTTTTGCTGAGAGTCGGTCTCATGTATTGGTTCCCATGAACTAGTGCAGTGTTTGAGTTGTAAATAGTTATGGAGAATGTTTAAATCTAAAACAGTTTTTGTTTGGATAATAAATAAAAGTAATAAAATCACTTCTATTATTATTATTTTTAAAGTTTATGCCTAAATTATCTGGCAGGGTCCCTTTAAGTCTGTAACGTGCTAAAGACATTAATGTGAGCAAACATTGTTTGCTTTATACAAAAAGTTTCATTGACTTCTGTGTGGGAACTTGTGTGAGTGAGGTGAAGTGGCTTGGCTCATACATTTAGTTCTCACTGCACTGTTCATTTAGTTGAATATTTTTGTATTTTAATATGAAGATGGTATTCTTGCTCTTCTTTTCAGCTACGTGGACCACCTCTCATTTGTGATCACATAAGCAATTGCTGTAATTAATATCACTTCTCCTGATAACATGGCTGTAGTAAGACAGAATGTAACTTGTTTTAGTTGTCTTTTAATGCCATTTAGCTGCTGCAAATGATAAACCAGCCTTCCGCAAACCACCGGTGTTCCACAGGTCACAATTTGAGAATGAGTTACAAAATGAACTGCTCGTGCATTCTCAGAAATCTGACCTTCAAACCATATAAATGTAGTGAGGGAGAGAATAGATGCTTTTCACTTACGATTCGATACACTACCATACTATTTTATTTCAACAATAAGGCCCTGATGCTGCACACATTTACATTGACATAATCCTATTGACTACAATAGGACTGACTACCTGTCTATGAAGTTAAACATGCATAAGTATTGGTTTCAGGACCTCGGATTATAAACCTACTGTTCTGCTTACTTGACCCTGTTAGTGTATTTTATTATTAATCTGAATGCTTTGTATCCATGTTAATTATATTAATTGCTGACAATAAGCTTATTACTGAAGTTACAATACACAAATTGTTTAGCTTGTATCTTTCCTTGAGACTGTGATTAGGTAATTAACTTTAAAACAAAGTGGAATTTATTATTTGTATTGTGGTAGTGCATCAGAAACCCAGTCATGGGCAGGACTCTGTGCTAGGCAAACACATAGCGTGAAAAAAAAAAAAAAAGTCTCTGCCCTCAAAGTGTTCTGCTCCTCCAGAATATTTATTTCCCAGTGTGCAGCTGTCTGTGTGCTTATCTTTGTTTCTTGTTCCCAGACAACGTTTTCCTGTTCTGGCTAATGCTAGGAGACGCTATTTCTCAGGACTGAGTGGCCCATGGAACAAAATGGTGGGAGTGGGTTTTGGAGTAGCTCTGTGTGCAGTCCCTATTGTACAGGTAAATGTACTGGATTGAATGTACATTACATGGATTTTAATATTCTAAGGTGTTTGATGGAAGAGTGTGCTTGTGGCAAATAGACCAATTTCTTGTATTAATTAAAACAACAGCCCAGTTATTGTATGATGTTATTAGTATGCATATTGCAGTATGCCCACTGAGCTTTCTGGGACATAGTTAGACATCTAGAAATTCTCTGCATCTTAGCTGACTTTTAAAAGAAGCACGAATTTAAAGTGATTCCACTATAAAGAGTGACTTAAATCCACTTAGCAAGAAACCATCATTCACTTTTAAAGATCAGTGGCAACGTAAAATAGATTTGCCCTAGTTTCAGTTGTCCCATAACTAAAATACTATTTTATAATAAAATTATTGAAAATTACTTGCTGTTACTTTGTGATGCCTCAAGCTGCCATGGCACATCATTCAGGAATCCCACTATTAACAGAGCAAACCCCACAATTCGTAGGGGGAAATCTACTTGTGGTCCTGGTATGTAATTAACAGAGTTTCAGCTCTTGCATGTTGCCTAGTGTGCCTGAACTTTTACAACCCACTGATAACCATCAGAGAGGAAACAAGATAAGAATGTGTTTTGCATATATATTACAATATTCTGACTCAGGCAAATATTGGGAAATAAAAATAGAAAAACTGGTTAAAAAAAAAAAAAAAACTTGCAGGAAAAGATGTTTTGGCGAGCTACTTCCGGAAATGTAGGCCCTTCAGAGAAGCAGTTACAGGACATGAGAAGAAGAGAATGGAACTATTGGAGTAAAATTTTGTTCTACTTTTTAGAAGTTAGTTATTTAAGAGTTAAGGCAGACCAGCAATTTATTTTTAGCAGTGGCTCCTGTGGGTTTTTTTTGCTTACCGGAAAAGACATTTTTATCATTATATGTTGTCTGTCTTTGAAAACCAGTGTAAAGACTGTGTAAATCTTTTGTCTTTCAGAAACATGAGCCCACTTCTCTCAGTCATGAAGCCTTGATTAGAAGGGCAATTTCTCTGGTAACAGACAGTACTTGTACTCTTCTCTCTCAAACAACATATGCATTAATTGAAGCATTAACAGACTATACAAAGGTAAGATGAGTGACTGCCTACATTAGTACAAAGTTAATACTGCAACAGCTGGAGTATTTAACTCTCTCACAAAGACAAGCTCTAACTGCACCTGTTAAATCAGCTCTTATACCTAAAATGGACTTTGACTTCACAAATCAATGTAACCGGGATGTAGAGCTTCTGGGGTAGCAGTTCAGCTTGAATCGGTGCATCAGACATGTCAAAATAAGTGAACTGAACCGAACATGTCCCTGGTGGACAATAGAGGAGGTGTTGCTGCTGTTTTGGAGTGGTCGTGATCCAAGGCACAAGCGATTTTTAGAGGTTTGTGAAACTCTCTTCAAGAGAAGCCCGGGCACGAACTACTTCCTGAAATGTGGACCCTTCACATGAGGAGTGAGGCTAAACTTTGCAAATAGTAGTCTAATATCTAGACAGAGAAAACCAAAGCCAGATATCAAGCATTCTTTAAAAATACATCCATTACCTTCCTGACTTCTTTTCTAGGCAAGAACAATACGTAGGTTTCATCAGAAACAAATATTTTTCCAATCTGAGTTTGAAACTCTAGAAAGGTCTATTTGAAATGTGACAAATGTGAAATTTGAAAAGTGCCAGATTAAGCAGAATAGTTGTCCATATTAAATTAACTACTGATTAGCATTGCCTTTAATATATCACTGTAGATAAGTAAATGTAGAAATTTAAGACTTACATGCATAAGGAGAATTTATCCATTACGTCTCATTCCTGCCAAGATTTTCAATACAAAATAAGCAGTTTGGCAATATTTCAATTCTAAAGTGTGTAATGAACTGGCTAGTTTTTGTGTATATGTACTACTGCCCTCTGCTAGATAGAATCAAAGTGTTTGTGTATTATGGGTCCTTATTTCAAGGGAGGTTCTCTTCTAGCTCAAGTGCTAATAGACTTGCTTTTTCAGCAGGAGAATCAGAGTTCTATCTGTGCTGTTACTATTAAGTTTCTAGGCTATCACAAAACTTGTTTTACAATATTAAACTGTCAATTTCTAATTTTTCTAGACTTTAATTACAATGAAATCTTTTCAACACATTGTTTCAGATTAATTACATTAATGAACACTAATACAATACCAGCAAAAGCAAAGTTCAAAAAGCACTTCTGAGATTATCCAGAAATGATTTCCTCACTAAATATTATAGGGGATTAAAACAAGGGAAAGTGTTAGAGCATTTCCCATTTTTGTCTACTGTGCAACATAAGACAATAATGTGAGAGCATCAGCAGATGCAAAATTAGTTTGAAAGTAAGTAGCACTTGCATATTTTGAGTACTTTTATCAAGTAGCTGTGCTAGACTTGTGCTCTTTTGCAGGCAGTTTACACACTGGTGTCTCTCTACCGGCAATATACAAATCTTCTTGGGAAAATGAATTCCAAAGAGGAGGATGCAGTATGGCAGGTGATCATAGGAGCAAGAGTTGAGGTAAAGAATTAACTAACTTCTGCAGTCATCAATTTGTCTCCTTTTTGTTATTTAAGAAATATTTCTCCATTCATTAATTTAACATGGCTGTAAGAGGGTCTTACAAAAAGTGGGTTCAGATAGTGTTAAACAGTGTTACATGGCATTTTGTTTTTAATTATAGATGACTACAAAGCAGCAAGAATTCCTGAAGTTAGAATCCAGTTGGATGACTGCTTTACATCTTTCAGAGATGGCAGCAGAAGCTGCATATCAATCAGGTATTCGGGCATTACTGTAATACACTCCTCAGTATCAGCTGGAATTTGTAATTTTTTAGCAAACTTTCCCCTGGCGCATAGGCAGTATTTATTATTAAAAAGGTGCAGGCAAGATTGACACTAAATCTAAATATGCTTAGTTCACGTGCAGACTGAGACTCACATGGTCTGATTTTCAGAGCTGCCTGTGTCTTCCACGGAGGACTCTGTATTTTCAGTTGAAGTGCTTAATACACCTCTACCCCAATATAACGCGATCCGATATAACACGAATTCGGATACAACGCGGTAAAGCAGTGCTCCGGGGGGGCGGGGCTGCGCACTCTGGTGGATCAAAGCAAGTTCAATATAACACGGTTTCACCTATAACGCAGTAAGATTTTTTGGCTCCCGAGGACAGCGTTATATCGAGGTAGAGGTGTACTTCTGAAAACCAGGCCCATAATTTAATACAATTATCTAATTATTTAAATGAAAAATAATAATAACAAACACCTGATTATTTCATTTAAGGAAATAAGGAAAAATTGCATTATAAATTTGACTAAGAAATATTCTTGAAACTAAATATTATATTAATGAAATAGTGAGAAGACTAGGTTGTTCAAGTACTGTAATATAGTCATTCACAGGTTCAAATCCAGAATAGACCACTAGTGACTGAAAATTGCCACCATGTGATGATTGTTCATCTTGGTTTATTTCTCACAGACCATGTGGCAAATTCACAGAAAATCACAACCTAATTTTGCACTAATTGGCAATCCAAACTTTGTTGGCAGGAATGTTCTGAGAAAAAAATTCCGATTCCGTCATATGATGATAGTCTAAAAATATCTAGTTATTAATCGACAATAAAGAGGAGTAAACTATGTTTTCAAAACTGTCTGATTTGCTTAGAACATGAACAGTTTAGTAAAACATGATATTTAATTACTACCAACTTAATCCTGGTCTTAATTGATGGTGTTTTCTCAGAAAGGCTGTTTCTGAATTAATTTACTTCAATTACTGTGTTTTTCAGGTGCAGATCAAGCTTCAGTGACAGCTCGCAACCATATTCAGCTGGTGAAAACACAGGTGCAAGAGGTACGACAGCTGTCACAGAAAGCAGAGACCAAATTAGCTGAAGCTCAGACAGAAGAGCTCATTAACACCAAAGTTGAGGAATCATCACAGCCATGCAGCATCCCAAAAACCACAGAGGAAGTCGAAGAGTCTTATCTTCGCGAAGACTGAAAAAAACCCTTCTAAATATCATCTTTGGAGTATTTGATAGCATACCACTAATTCCAGGGCCCTGAGTTTCCCACATCGTTAAGAAAATAGATGTTGGATAAGGAAAAGGCATTGAAGACAGGCATGCTATCTGTTGATAATTGGTGGCAGTGGGCAATAATTCTCTCCCCCACAGATTTGCTATACCTTAGCCACCAGCCAGATTCAGGTGTTTGAAACTGATTTATTTTTTAAATTACCATTATTATAATATGCATTGTTAGTAAATTTTTATTTAAGTGTACAACTATGCAAATGTGAAGTTAGCTGTTAAAGATACATTGTTGATGAGTGTTTGGATCTGCTGCCATGAGGGTCTAATTCAGATGATTTAATACTAAACCCTTGGAAATTCCCAATGTCTAAAACTAATTGTAGATTGCAACCAAAGAGGGACATTTAAAAATAATTATTTCTAGTCTATGAAGCAAGTTAATCTTAGTGGGTATTATATCTCCAGTCGAACAACAGAATTACATTTCATTGTCAGAAAGTCAGTTTGGTTAACAATGTTGATTTTTTAGTGCTGTTTTCTAATTATTTTGACTGTGACAATTCATAATGGGTATCTCATTGTTTAATAAAACACAAACTACTGTAGTCTAATTGCACTTAATTGTATCAAAAGAAGACAACTGATAGAATTGCTACAAATCTTGGAAATCTGTAAGATCTACACTCGGTGATTACTGTAGTATAGAGTATGGCAGATGTGTTTATGCAGACTTGCTTGTAATCTAATAGGAACACAACCAGCATGATGCAATACAACTGGTTTTCCATGGTAGTAAAGGAAGGATTTTGTTGCTGTGCCACATTTAAAATAGTGTGTGTGTCAACAGGGAACATAGTGTTGCAAAGGCAGATACACCACAAATAGTGGCAAATGCTATTTGATCACAGAATACAATGCTCAGAATGTGAATTTTCAAGCAGCGTAGCTGTAGTCTGCTCCAAATGGCAAGGAAAATGTAGCTTCCTCTTTGATAGTCAAATGACAGTGTTTCACTGCATGCTGGGTTTTCAAACCACATTTCAACAGTTCATGAGTATCTCATTTCTTTCCCTTTATGTCATTTAAGCAGTTTAATTTAATATTGAATATATGGTTGTATTTCCCCAAATTCATGTGTTGTTTTATTATCTGTACTGTAGAACGGTGGCGACTAGATTTTTATGAAAAGCTCCCTTTAATATTTGTATAATGCTGAATTACAAGACAGCTGAGTATTGGTAATATATATTTAGCCAATCGGTATGGTTTAGAGAAACAGAATTCTGTGTATTAGTAATTGTTAAATTTGTTTAAAGTGCCATTTTCTACAGGACCCCAGTCCGTGTGAAAGTTCCTGCCCCAAGATTTCTTGATATTCTTGTGTTAGATTATAGGTTCTGGACTTGTTTTGGCATTTATAACTAGCACTGAGTGTTTGAAAGTTTTCCAGCCCAATCCCACCCTTCCCTGAGAATATCTTTCTGAACTTCATTTCCATTTGACCTTTTTAACAAGGGGATTGGATCCCTGTAGCACTGTGCGACTGCAGCTAATGGGGAGTTTTAAACGACACAAGAAAAGAGTGCAGAGTAATCTTAGGTCATTGTAACTCTCCTGCATTAGTAAGAAATAAAATATTTCCTGGCTGATCTTTGCTTCGTTGCAATCAAATGTTTGGGTTTGTAAATGTTTGGTATCAAATGAAAAGATGTAACAGAAAATATTTTCACGGCCCCTCGCCAGAAGAAATCTTACAGGTGGAGGAGGGTGAATACTTTTGTAACACTAAGTTAGAGGTTAAATTAAAGCCTATGTTTACCAGTGAGTCTCTTCCAAAAACAACAAAAAATTTACACTTTGGTGATGGTCATAGCAGCCGTTAAGGACCTCTGAATACAGTTCTAGGATGGAGGATTATGGGAACCATCCCTAACAGAGGGGAGGTAGGGGGGAATTATTTGCAGTTGCACTGTTGGCACAAGGCTCTAAGCAAGCAACAGTGCCACACAGGGTCAGCCTCTCTCTGTAACTGCACTGTGTGAACAAAGCTGAGCGGCTGCAGATTAGCTGGTGGGGAGTTCTGGTGCCAAGCCATTTATATTTATCATCCAAAATTGCACGTACTAGCATTGTTGGATATACGTGTCATTGGTACAGCCCTCTTGTGCCTGCCAAGGTGCCAGTGTAGCTCTGTCACATGTTTGTGTGGTATAGACTATCAAGAAAAGATTGGATCCTATTTATGTAGTACCCTGGAAAGCAGAACAACGTTTCCTGTCTGAGTCAGGCTTCCCACACAAACCAACTTCTGTTTCCTTCTTCACTTGGTCACAGTTGTAATGTATCACTATTCTGCTAAAACAGCACACACATACCTCTGCAGCTGTAAACTCAGCCCTGTAACATGCGTCATTAACACCCAAACCAATTTGTCTACTTTGCCATTGGAGAGAGGCAAAGTCCTTTCCAGTCCTATCTACTGATAGCAGCTTATCACCACATGCTTAAGTTAGTTTGTACAGTGCTTGGAGAGGCACACTAAACATTATTTCTTACTGTATCCCACTGAGTTTGTATCTGGGATTGTCCAGGGTAACAAAGAAATGATACAGTAGTATTTCATAAAAGGTACCAACCCCTATCCTGGATAGCAGCACTGACACACACACAAGTGACTCACACACCTCTCTGGAAATGGATGAAAAGCACCCACACAGAATATCTGTGTCCAGTGAACAAGCTTCCTCTCTCTCTCCTAAAAATCCAAGCATTAAGTTTTACTACCCTACCTTATGCCTACGTTACAAATAGAGCAACATAGAAACACTTCAGACTTAAACACCTTCCTAATCATGTTTTTAACCCCTACATCAGGAATTTACTACACCTGAACAGAAAGGTGGGAGGGTACAGTAGTATTCATTAGAGACTTCTATTGTTCTTAATAAAAAAATAATCTGTGACCTGAAAGTTAAGTTTAGGTAAAGATGAACCCACATTATGGGCTAGTCTCTTAATGGCAGTTCTGCTTTCACAGATGCTCCTCTTCAACTGCTTATCTATTTCTATTATCTGTTCCTAGAATCTTACACAGGAATCGTGTGCTTATTCCAGGGCAGAGTCCACTACAAGAACAGTGAGCAAGTATCATACAACAGTGACAAGTGGAATAGTATCCAAGGTTACAATCCCTGGTGCCTTCAGACAACTACAACCCTAAGTAAAATGGTGGGACCCTCCAACACCAAAAGGGAATTGACAAGAACATCAGAAGTAACTAGAAAGGCAATTCAGGTTAAGCACTAATAAAAGCAAGCAGGGTAGTGACAGTGAAGGCATAATACACTGGCAAACAGGAACCCACAACATAAGAATCCATTGATTTGATGTAGTTTAAACAGTTTCGTCACAAACTTAAAAAGACAGGGAAGCAGAAATTTCTTGCTTCTAGTACCAGCTCTGTCAAACTCTCCTCTCCCTGGCCTTGTGGAAGGATGCAACTTACCCTCTCCATCCCTCAGTTTCTCTTGATAAGAGACCTCCCTGCAGTGGATCTCAAAGCACTTTACAAACAAACATAAATGAAGGACCATCTCACATCTGTGTGGTAGTATTGCCCCTCCAGTTGCAGGTGCCAAGGTCACAGCAATCAGACTAGAATTGAGGTCTCTCTCCTCCAAGAGCAGCACTTTACTACCACTTCCAGGCCTCCTCCCCTCACCTGCAACACAGCAGTGCAAGGATGGATTATTTCATGAAGTTGAAAAGCTCCATATGAGTACCAAGGAGGATGGGTCATCTTGAACTTTACTCAAGAGATTGACTCAGCACCAAGGTGACATAGGACCTGTGTAGGGACTTATACCACACTCTGCCACAAGGCCATTAATTAGCAAGTCCCACTTCCCACAATGCCATTCAGATATATTTTCCATTTGCAGCTGTGTAACCTCTGATGGAGGCAGCTGTCGGCTAACCCTGGATTTCGTTTTGATATTCTCATCTCAGCTGTACTTCCAGTAGAACAAGAATACTCAATGTAAACACTCAAAACTGTATTTATTTATACCTGTTTAAAAAAGCCATTGTTATTACAGTGATTAATAGCAATTTGTTTCTTCTCCCAATCCCATTGTCAAGTATTTTTGTGCAGAAATTCCAGTGCAAATAATCTAATGTAAGTAGATAAAATGGAAAGAAAAAGAGCTGGTTAGAAGTCAGTGCTATTAGAACGAAGGGCCTTGCAGTGTAGTGGCTGTGTTAAGAACAGACAACTGAAAGATTTATAGACCATCTTCTCTGTGTTCTTTCCTCCATATCCCCATTAAGTAAATTTAGTGCTGGTGAAGTCTGCTGGATTGCTAACCCTGGACAGTGAAGTCCTTGACAGGAGATGCACAGACCCAGCAGCGTAAGCTTGTCCACACACTTCTTGTGCCTTAGCCCTGATTTCACGGGTTAATGGGTGAGTTCAGGCTCTATTGCCTGTTTAGTAGGAAGGCCAGTAACTAGAGACTGCTAGTAAGGTTGGCAGTTGTAACTTGGACACTGGTGTCCAAGAGCCACCATCAGAACTGGCACAAAGACCACCACCTCACTTGCAACCAGCCACTCAGGACCACCTAGGTGGGCGGAATTCAAATCAGTGATCTAGAGAGGAAGCAATCCCAATCCCAAGTCCCTGAGCTATCCCCCTACGTGTTTTCAGTTCAACCTTGTGATGCTTCAGTAACCCAACAATATATTTTCAGAGGCTCATTGCAGAACATTACCCTACTGTAAAACTACAGTCTGTTGTTAAAAATGTATCTACTACAACTTTCTTTTGTTTCTATTTTTAATGTCCGTTTAAGCAATCTGGAGTAACCACCACCATCATTCTGTTCCCCCCCCTTAGCATCAGCAGTCTCGTTTTGTGAGTTACTGAGTTAATGATACAGCACACCTAATACGGTCATCCTTTACCAGCGTCCACATGATCCACATCTCGGTGGGGTTCAGCTTGTGCACTATCATCAGTTCTTTGTACAGACATGGATCAAAAGGATTAAAGGGCCTCTGGATCCCAAAGGTCTTAAAGCCAGCATGGTTCAATGGAGTCACTGCCATCTTTGCCAGACACATTCCCACAAAGACATCATCTATTGGGAAGAGTTCGGTGTCCTCAGCGGTGCTCTGGAGTCGCTGCACTGTCGTTCTGGACATCACATAGCCTCCGCCACCAGCATAGAGAGGATAGTAGGGCGCTTTGTACATAGACTCCGGGATGAAATATTTTACTTTGGTGTTTCTTATAGGACGGGCCTGGCTGATCACATCCCCAACAAAGAGATCCTGCCCAGGTTTGAGTTCCTTGAGGAACTCAACGATATTGTAGGTGTTGACAAAAACGTCGTCATCGCCCTTCAGCACAAACCTGGCCTGGGGACAGTCCTCCAGGAACCACCGGAGGAAGTGCAGCTCCTTCAGCGTCAAGTTGAAGAAGTTGTCGGTGAAATCCCACTGGACAATGTCATCGAACTCTTGGCTCTCATAAACCAGCAGCTGGTGGAGGGAGTGAGCCTGGATTTTGGCCTCCGAGCGCCCAAGCAAGAACACCAGCTTGATTGGCTTGCTGCCAATGGCCACTTCTTTCCCCCATGTGTTCCTGATAGCAACCCTACGGTCTATGTTGATCGGGGGAGACTTGATTGCCAGCAAGAGGAATGTTTCCTCACTGCATCTCGTGGGCTTCAGCAGTGTGGAAAAGTTCCTGCAGTGCTTGTACATTAAGAAGGTGCGGTGAAGCTCTGGGAGTGCAGAAGAGGAATTGGCAATTGTCAGGTCTGGCAAACATTTGCTGGGTTCAGTCTGCTCCGGGGCCCAGAACGTATTGCTGGGATTTGGTGCAGCTATCTTCCTGGCTGCTGGAGACACAGCCAACTTAGTCTCTTTCCTTATATACATAAGGAACGCAATCAACGTGATTGAGACGGTATATAGTGCAACCATTCTTATCCTGGGATACATCTCAAACACTGGAGCAGGAGCCAATCCCTGCACAGTTAAAGGAACACACACAACATTTATTAAAGGAGCATTTAGGCTTCTTGTCTCAATGCTAAAGAGACTTTCTAAACAATTATCACAAGAGTCTAAAGGCCAAAGCTATTTAGGGGCTTAAAGATGCAGATAGGGATCCAGTGGGATGTACAAAAGCCCCTAAGCAGTTTACACACCTAATTCCCATAGACTTCAATAGCAAAGTTTTTATTGAATTTAATGGGATCAGGAGCTGTCCCATTACTCCACTTAAACAAGGAAGGACACAGGTTTGTCCCTGCCCAGCCCAGAGTACTGGTGTCAGGGCTGCTCACTTTGAGAGCTGCCAGTGCTCAGGGGGGGGGGGGGGGAGGAGAGAGAATGACGGACGGGGACAGATTCTAATGTTGGACTGTGAGCTCATTAGCCTATGAATTGAGTCACTGCTCAATTTGGGCCCAATCCTGCAAGGTGCGGCGTGCTCTCAATTTCCAGCCTCTCCTTTAGGAAAGGAGGGTTACTCAGCCCAAGATCAGCTCGCAAATTCAAAGCTAACACTGCTCTTGGGCAGTGCCCAATATGTATTATGAGAAAGGTCTCAGGAAGCACAGAGAACCATCACACGGGCACATAGGCCAAGTGCTGCAGCTCACACAAGGCTCTTGCAAGGACAGAACGGGCTTGATGCAAGCGATTCAGACTGCTCTTCCCATTAGAGTCAAAGCCCTATTTGCATCATCTAGTGTCAGCCTGTTTTAGGAACATTGGGGGCAGCAGGGATGCTTGGATAGAATGGTAGTTTGGTCTGAGTGCCAAATGGAAGTACACGTAGCAAGCAAGTCTCTGGGCTTCCTTCCCCACTCACTCACCCCGTCTAGTTCTCTCTGCGGTTGCATGCTGTTGAGAAGTCGAGGCCTCAGGGTGCTTCCCATCTGCCAAGTTAGTCTAATCTAGCCATTTGTTTGGCCAGCTGAAGTTTATCGGTCTGTTTTAAGTTTTGCAGGGGGTTCCAGGTACAGTACGCAAACCTGGAATCCCATTTCTGAGAGATTACAATAGCTTTTTCAGTGCCCTCATGTCTGTCAGCTGAAGCAGCCAATGCTGCATAGCCTCTACGTTCAGTATTGTTTTAAAGGCAGCTTTAAAAAGAATGTCATGGCATTTACTCATAGACATCTTTAATTCTATGCAGGCAGTAGAGCACAGAACAAGCCAACAGGTTTCTGTCCGAGGCAGTATTCTGTCCCTCCAGCTACCAAGCTTGCAAATTAGATTAATTTTTTTAGCTGACCTAAGTGAACAGCTTGTTTGAAGCACAATCCTAAAGCTTTGGTTTTGTTAAAAAGCTCTCTCGGGTAAGAGCCCATATCCAAGTCACACAGCAAATGGGTTTTACAGCATCCTACTTCCTTTCAGCATCTTTGTGCCACAGCGGGGATCACAAACTACATCTCCTCACACCCACCCTTGTGCCTTGACCACAAAACGTTTTTTTCTTTTTAGCACATCTATGTATCAACCAGACTTGCTTGACAGGCGACAACTTTCCTTCTTCCTTTTAAGAAAAGAAAAGCACTGACTATTAGGCCCCATTCCCCACCCAACTCCAGTTCTGCCACAGCGTTCTAACCGTCCATTACAGGCAGAAGGAATTAACCTAGTTTTCCCCTCACCAAACGTTCCCATTTAGAATTTTAAAGTGTCAGACAGGCACACTGGTGCTTGCACTGGCAACGGACCCCACATTTCAGTAGAAGGGCACTCGGTGCCTGACTCCAACATTAGAAGCCTTACAGGGATCCTGACTTTACACAGGGACGACACACCCTTTTTAAGAGCTAGAGAAGCTAAAGAGGCGGATAGTGCTCCCAACTGAAAGTGTTTAAGTTTATAATGTTTAACTGTTATTAAGATCTTTGGCCTAGGAACCCAGCGACAGCCAGGTTTCAATGCTGCCTTACAAACAGTGTTTATAGTCACGTTATTTGCATTTAGGGTGGAATTTATCATGACATGATAAGAAGCCCACACTCAAACTGCGACAATACCAGTGCCTGCGGGGTACACCAGATGAAGGGGAACCTCAGAGAGGTTAAGGTTTAAAAGCTGTGGCCAAACCATAAAGGGTCCTGTTACACAGGGGCTAATATTGGGATATGTGGTGCTCTACGTGGGCCAGTTTCTCCATGATCCATCGTGCATGTGAAATTTAGAACGGTTGCAACATTCCCGAGGTATCTCGCATCCAATCAACAGAGAGACTGAACTTTTTGCTGTCCTAGGCAAACTGGATCATTTATGCCACTCCCAGCCCTGTTATATTCTGTCGCCCTTTAATACACAGACATTGTTTGTAGCCGCCTGGTCGCTCCTATACAGAATCCACCGGTCAATCACTGAAGTCAATCAGAGGTCTGACTTTAGACTCGCTGTTACCATCAATTAAGTCCTGAGTTATTAAAAGGACCCAACCACCCCACCAAAGCCTGATCAGTAACGTTCCCAACCCGCGCAAGGCTGGGCTGTGATTTCGGTAAAGGAGATGGCGCGCAGAAACAAGAGCCAGTCTCCCAGCAAAGCTTTGAAGTGAGTTTTGCAGCTCCCTTCCAGGGCACCGCCTCTTGTGCTGAACCCCGCCAGACCCGGCCACGATCGCAGCAAACCATCCCTCCGAGGCTCTTCCTCCCCTCTTACCTTTCCTGCAGCACCGACTTCTCCTCGGGGGCGGCTGCTCTGCAAGGAGCGCGCCTTACATGCACCATGCAAGCCCTCGCCTGCTGCAAGGCAATCTTTCACCAGGCTTCAGTTTAAACAGGGGGTGGTGCATGGAGGCCTGAACCCCCTTCCTGCCCCCTCTTTCTGTTTGCGCGCGTGCATCTGGCTCTGCGAGCCGCTCGCTCCCCGTTCCTGCTGCCGTTAAAGCCGCCGCCGCAGCCAATGGGGCTCGCGCGGCTCTGGAGCCCGGCCGGGGTCGCCATAGAAACGGCGGGCAGACTCGTGCGGACGTGAAACCAACCAGCTACCGCAGCAGCTGCTCCGGGGTTTAGGGCAAGGGGGGCGCGAGGCGGGGGGCCTGGCGCCGGCGGCCGGGGAATGGGGCAGCCGCGGCAGAGCGCGCCGCCCCCAATGAGGGGATTCTTTGAATGCGGGAGGCAGTTACTCTCATGCAAATAGAGCCTGGCTGAATTCAAATCCCCCTGCCCCCGAAAGGTGCCGAGCCGAGGGGAAGGTGCAGCCGGGGGGGCTCAGGCACCGAGCGGAGCTGCTGGGAATGCGAATGGCAAAGGCGACGGGCCGAGCAGGGTGACACCGGAGTGACACCCTGTTCGGCCAAGGCACTTCGGTTGGACTCCCTCCCTCCCGGCTGTTTGGGGGGGAGGAGGAAAGCAAGGGTCTGCCCCCCCCCCTCTGCCCCAGGCTGAGAACAGTCAATCCATACACACACCCCGGGGGGGGGGGTACTGTTTTATTGGAAATCCCCTGCCCACCCACCTGCTCCCTAATCTCCCTTTTGGCTGCAAGGGCTGGATTCAGGTTGTGCTTGGGGCTGGGCCTTACCAGAGCGCCTCTGCTGGCCCCCGAGGATCAAGATTGAAGTGAGGGGGGGGGGGGACTCCGCTTTAAATAGAGCACAAACTCGGCTCACATGAGAACCTAATTCCTGCGGGTGAAGGGTGGAAGTGTTTGTCATCCTGCTGCGGTAGGCCTGGACCCAGCCCTAAGGGCCTTCCGCGTGGCCCAGCCATAGCTGCAGCATGTAAGATTTGTTTTTCTTTTGCGTTTCGCTTGCCAAGGAAAATCTTCTGGATCGGCCCCGCTGCTGGGCTGCCTGCCTGACCCGTCAGAGACCCTGAGACAATAGCTGGGACTGAGGGGTGTGAATGGCCTTAGAATGAATCTCAGCTGGTGTTAATTCAGAAATCCACAGGGGGCAGGTTAAATGGTAGCGCTGTTAACTGTGTCACCACTGATCACTTTGAGAAACAACCAGTTAGACGGGGATTGTAAGCAGACCATAGAATAACACTGCGCCCCAGTTGGAGCCAGGGTTGTCTGGCTCTGATCATTCAACACCCGCCATCTCCAAGGAATATATTTGACAAGAGCCCTCCGCATCGCCCAGCTCTCGCTCTTTTTCTAGAGCATCCAGCATCATTTGCTGAAACATATTACAACGTGTGTGGATCCGGGGGCCTTCCCCACTTTATCCCATACCTTCCAGTGACTTCCCTCTGCCTCGGGGAACGTCACCAATAAATCCTTAGGGAAACAAATACACGCTGCCCTTTTCAACAGCTGCGCTGTCCTGTGGGGAGAGAATGTCTGGGTCACCCAACCCTCTTATTACTGACATCAACCATCTCTTCTTACAAGCTCCTGAAGCATAAGTGGGTCTCCACTTCTCTAGCAGACCCACAAGGGCCACGCAAGCTGCTCTCTTGTGATCTGTCTTGTCAAGTTCTCCTTGAAAGGCAGCTATGCAAATTATTGTTTTCTAGCCCAGCAGTACAGTATCTCAGGTGTGCGGCTATGGTGATACCATCTGGCTGAGAAGGCAAATAGACCTGTCGGCTTAGGACTCTGCCTTTAAGTTTTCTCCCTGGAGAAAGCAGAGCATTGAAGACAGCTCATCCTCAGCTCTCAACTACTGTTAAAGATGCCACAGGACAGCAGCCCATGAACAAAAGTGCCAGAGATTCTGAAAATGAATTGATGCCAGAGATGACACGTAGTTGTTGAGAGGGGAGGGGGATAGCTCAGTGGTTTGAGCATTGGCCTGCTAAACCCAGGGTTGTGAGTTCAGCCCTGAGGGGACCATTTAGGGAACTGGGGTTAAAAACAAAAACTGTCTGGGGATCTGTCCTGCTCTGAGCAGGGGGTTGGACTAGATGACCTCCTGAGGTCCCTTCCAACCCTGATATTCTATGAATTTAAAGGTTCTGGTGGTATGTAGCAGGGTTCAGGGCAGGGCATATGAAACATTGCAG